AACCATTTGATGACAAGAAGATGTTGGCTCCTGTAATACAAAACAAATGACAGTGATATTGACAGTGGTAATGACAATGATTATGGCAATGATAATGACAGTGATAATGATAGTGTTGGTATAGTTACCTTTTACATCCCTGTGGATGATTCCTCTTTCATGAAGCACGTTAACAGCCACTAGTATYTGCATGGTGTACGTTCTCATCATACTCTCAGGWAGACCTAACTTAGCAACATCAGAGATAGTGCCATCTGCACAAAACTCCATGAATATCAGCATTTCATCCTAGACACAAACACCATCATATTCACAGTCTGCCTAATGATTAACTGCATACAAAACATTTTAAGACCACTCTTCTTCTTCTAGAACGTAATAAGCTAATAGCTCCACCCATAGTAGGTGACAAGCCTTTTCCATATCGATAATAAAAGAACACTCACCCTGTGCAACTCCACCCCATAATATTTGACAAGACTTTCATGCTGCATGCCTTCAAAGTTTTTGATTTCATCAGCAAGTTCTTTGATTTCACCATGATCATTGGGGTGAAACTTTATCTGTTAAATAGCAAAACTAGTTGACCTTCATTAMCAAMAGAAGGGTTGATGCCATTCAGTTAAGGCTCAAATGGTCAAAAAAACTGTAGGACAATGTCAAACTAAGAAAATTATGACGTTGGCACGAACATATCATTCATACAATAGCTATATTAACATCTGACCTGTTTCATGGCCATCATACAACAAAGACATATCATTCATACAATAGCTATATTAACATCTGACCTGTTTCATGGCCATCATACAACAAAGAYATATCATTCATACAATAGCTATATTAACATCTGACCTGTTTCATGGCCATCATCTCTCCAGTGTCTAAGTTAACACAAGCAAACACCTTGCCAAACTGACCCTCCCCTATCTTCATCCCTCTCTGCCATTTGAAAGGAACTCGTCTGTTTGATATGTTCGCCAATTCACTTGTGATATCTCTCTTTCTACTGCTGACTTTTCCAATCACATGCCTYTCAACCAAATACTCATTACGCTGATGCTCAAGCTTTTTAAGGGCATGGCGTACCCGTTCCATTTTGGGTGCGGTGGAGTAGTCCAGACTGTCCTTGTGCTGTGGGATTGGTTTAGGTTGTTCAACCACTCCATCTGGACTTACAGCTTCTGAAAATGAATTACATCCAAAATATTAGCAGCTATTAATTGACTTGGCAGTAAATGGCAAAACTGTGCAACATTTAGAGATACTACATGAAGTCCAGACCTACCTTCTCCTTGAACATCCTCAGCAAGACTGTAAAACTGGGTCTGTCTGTAAGGGTCAGAGAGTGTGCGATGAGGAACAATGTGTTCACTATCATCTGGCTTGCCTTTATTTGCTGGCCATGAAAGAGGACGAAGCAGACCACCACTAGTAACGCAACTGCTTTTACCAAGGACAGGAGATGAGTTCATTACCGCTGGGCTGTGTGGTCGATAAGCTGAAAGRATGTCAAGTTATCAACCTTATAGCATGTAAGTGGGCTGTGTTCAAGTGGTTACAATAATAGAGACATCAAGTGATGATGCCACAAAATAATTACRAATTTTCCAAAATTTTAGATTCTAAAATGAACATCATATTTTACACTGAGTAAAATAAAGTTCAATAACTTCAATCGTTACTATCTTTATTATTATCTATTAGACACAAATAACTGCAGCCAATTCAATGGAATAAAAGGGTGTGATGGATACTCAACAATGATCTATTACATGAATACACAGATAATAAGACAGTGCATTACCAAAGCAAGCTAGTGCTTTTCAACTCAGGTGGATACTAATAAGCAAGAGGGTCAAAGATGACAAGGCTTCCTGGTTACTATTGATTGACACAACTTCATGCCTGCCCAGGCAATAGCAATGCCAGGCCCCTGTTGGTCATAGGGTAAACATGGTGACCATGTCTGGGATAGCAGTATTGGGATCACATACCTGAGCTAGAGGGTCCTCCATTTGCACTACCGACAACATGTGATATACAATCATTGATTTGCTTCTTCAACAACTAAATACAAAATAGTTAATTGTTATTACAATAAACATCTGCATGTAGACTAGATGACTGAATATAATAGATTTCTTAACTTTCAAATAACTTCAGACGTCAATTCKTTCCTCAAGTAATAATGTATAATGTGATAAAGAGATTGTTATATTCATGTAATGAAAGAATATTGGATGTTGTTAACAAACATACTTATGCAAGGGCAAGAAATTTCTTTTGTTATACTCTGAGTACAAATGAAAATCAAAAATAGAAATCATGTTAGCTTGAAAGCAGTGCCATAACTTTTACCTGGAAATCAGTCTCAGCCATCTCACTGATAATCTTGCCRTCAATGGCTATTGTCAGGAAATCCAAGCCTTGAGTTGCCCACCTACACAATTAAAATTGTGAGCATCACTTTTGGTCTCACAGCCCTATTGTCAGTTTTGACAAGTTTCCTCATTTATAGAAACACTGATTCGAAAAATGGCTCTTAAGGACGTTCATTGGCATTGGATTCCGTGATGTCAATTCGATGAAATTTTTTTGGGAAATACGCGATGACATAAACTTGCAAAAAAGCGATAAAAAAGTGGAGGTCACCGGCTTCACTTTAGAGATAATTCTTGCACAAAATCACCAAAATTGTCAAAGAAAAGCGCGCGAAAAAGGGTCGATGCCGTCTACCAAAAAACTTCCCGAAAAATATAAAACACATATCAATTGATCCAAATTTTTCCACAAAAGCTGAGGGCGATAATTGTTAATATTGTTTACGAGACTTTGAAACATTACATGATGTGATTTTTGATTTCTTTAGGACTTTTGTTCGTGTAAGGCCTCCACATTCGACGTCAAGAATAGGTGTCATTTCCAGCTAAAACTGCTGTATTTCAGAAACCTCTGTTGTCGTTTTTTCCGCTTTCACATATGTTATATTTTTTCCAAGTAGCCTTCTTTTAAGATAAATATAAATTGGGGTTACCGGGTTCGTTGTCGAAATATTTCGTGTCGAAATCCTAGATTTTGCAGGCCATCTTGAATTGCGAGAGACTTTTTTCTGCCAATCTACGACTTTTTAGAGCATTTTCAACACTTTTTCGCCTCATCAATTCTTTAGCAGTAGTAAATCTCTCATTTTTTGAACACGAAGACATTTTTCATTCAAGTAGAAGTTCAGAAAAGTACGTACAAAACCACACACACATAACAAGAGCGGTCGCCATCTTTGTTTTGCGTGATGCAAATTCGTGACAACTTCCGGTTTGGGCGTGCGCAGAAAGCGTGCGCAGTAGCAATGCCCTCGAACGTCCTTAAACAATAAGTGCTTAAATTTTGAGCATTTGTGAAAAAATCTTTTGTACTGGTGCACAGTGCAGTATCAGGGGCTATGGGGCAGAAAGAGCATTTTTCTTCAATTTCTTTTTTATTTGCTCCTCAGAAAATGGGAAGAAGTAAGCTCTACTATACTCAAAGTCCCTAAAACTTTTCAAGGCTCAAAATTTTAAAAATTCCTGGTCCCCAAGCCTATGATCAGGAAAAAAATGCTTCACGATCAAAGAGTACAGTATGACACTAATATTATGTAAACGTTAATTTACATTTAAAAATGCCAATCATGAGCGTATGTAAGTCAACCTTATAAGAATACTGACCGTTTTAAAAGTTAAAAAGCTCAAAAAGTGATATGGATTTTATTTCTAAATGGAGTTAAAGAAACTGTAACTGGTTCTGATTGCCAAAGGCTGTCTCTCTGTTTTGTCAGTATTTTTAGCAACCACCTTGGGCCAAGGGTTTAGTCAATACTGACATGAATTCACAAACCTTGGTCTTGTTCCTCGACCTCTTTCACACTTCTCCATGACAAATGAGATCCATTTCCTGGCAAATGACAGCATATCTTTGGCTAAAGTTTTACGTGCTGTGCCTGATACTAGCCTGGCTACTTCTTTCAAATACTGAAACACAAGAAAACCAGGAAAACCAATTATAAATGGTAAGAAATACAACCAATAAGATGTATTTTTAGTGAATAAATAAATTTGATTTAATCATGATCTTAAATGACAAACATACATTATAATACAAATGAAGATTAACTCTGAAGGATCATTTTCCAGTCACAACACATGCCTTTGCGTCTGTTTACGCAATTATTATAATTTTGAGCATTTCTTTCTGTATGACAATCAAATCTTGATTTTCCTTTTATTATTGAAAGACAAAGGCTGCCACTTTGGAGGGATGTCTTTTTGTTCTTGTCAGTATTCTGCACCTCCCACTTACAATCATTGTCCCTTACACAACATCATAGAACTTAGTTCTGATTGAAAGCTAATGGTTCATGGAAATTGCAAATTATAGGACTGGTGCCATTCTTGCAGTCTCTTGTGGATGACAATAACTTGTTCTTTGTATCTTTTATTAGCTCATAATATTTTGAAAAAATAAAGTGTTAACTAATATTCCTTTACAGTTGCTTTTCTTCCTGAGTAGCAATGAGGCTTAAGTTAAAATTAAAGCATGGTTGCACATGACTATAGGCTTGCTTGCTAGCATTATGTGACCTGAGCTTAACACCAATAATGAGAAATCACACCAACACTAACTAGATTGCCCACATTTCCTTGCAGTGTCAGCCTCTATACATGTCCATCAAAGGAGCATGCCAATAATTACTCAATCGAGTGGATGTTGTGACAGACCACTTACAAACCACTAAGCTTACCTCAAAACCAAAATTAAAGCAGCTATACATGGTCTCTACTGTGTTCTGAGAAACTTTTGCCTTCTCACTCTCGTCTGTCTCAAACATCTCCACATCAAGATTCTCATTGGCTCTTTCAATGGCAGAGATGATCTTGTTGCCTAGCGACAATACAGCATCCTAAGAACAAGATAATAGTAGTCACAATATTTGAATGGCATGAAAATTGTGATTACAAGGAAGTTTAATAATTAATTCTTACTTGTAGATGGTCTAGAGAGTCAGAGATGGCCTGGTGACTAGATGTTTTTTCCTTGACAACCGTAACTATGATGTTAAAAGACTGTAAGAACACACTGCGTTGTTCTTCAAGTTGGAGAGACTTGTACACAACCAGGATAAGACCATCAACCTGTCAAGATTGGATTATTTACTTGTTATTTACATCTTTTTATGTGCTAAATTAAGTACCAGGTAACAGCATTAGTAAATGTTTTTTCTAAGTAAAGTCCATTGTATGACTTCCATGGATGTCATTATACATGGCTCTGAATTACATATACAGAGTTCTCATGTCCGTATGGAAGGTTAATTTAAATTCATATGATTAAAATCGTATATTAAATCTTTGTACGTACACATGCTTACTATGCTGCTGCATAAATATCACAAAAAATCAGGTTGACCCAAGCAAATCAATTTATCCCATGGCTATGTTTAGGTTTAGGGAAAATATAGGGAATGCATAGCACTGGATTTGAATCTTCATGCTTGTCATTAAAAAAATTCTTTTCAATTCAAGTTCAAGTATTTAAGAGCCTTTATGAGTGCATCAGCCTTGTGTACATGTACAACCATATGAAAGCTATACAAAAGATATTAATTTTCACTTTTTTCTATTTTATATAAAAAATTACCATCCAAATGCAATATGATATTCAAAATCCACTACATTTTATTTACCTGTACATCAGCCAAACTAATCCGAGTGTCCACTGTCAATGTGATGTCAATCTTCTTGCCTGTCCACATGGGTGTCTCAACCTTTGCCGATGGCATAACAATTAAATATCCATCAACCAAATCTTTCTTGCCTTTCTTTAATCCACAGCAGGCATTCAATAGATCCACAATTTGGCTGGAAAACAATGGTATTCTTAGAATGCAAATTTATTTAAAATAATACAGCAACATTAACTTAATGAATAAATAAATTAGCCATTTTTGCAGTTATAAAACAAGTTGCACAAGGGGCCTGTGGTATTGCACCAAGGCAATGCAACAACCCCAAAATAGTCCCTTTTTGTTTATCTTTTTGCAATATTACATAAATATTTTTTTTGGTGACAAAGGTCAAGACATGATTTTGACATGACTTTGCACTTTGTTCATTTCAGGGTTGCAACAATAATGTTGCTTGTTTTCGTTTTAACTGTGAAAAATCTCTTTTGATAATGTAAGCTTCAGGGAAGGGTTGTAGTATTGTGAAATAATAATATGAGTGAGTTATTAGGATTACTGCCAAACTTTGTACCTTAACCAAAAAATAGTTTGTCACTTTGAAATAAAATCCAATCAATTTTGTCATCTATTCAAACATAGAGATTTGACCATTTTCTGTACATGTAGGCTTTAACAAAATGTTACAGTGCACCATATATGAATTATGCAGGCAAAGGTTGACAATTAGTGCCTGAATGAGCAAATTTAAATAAATAACGGATGGGTATAACAACATTATGGATTAATGACAAATTAGCAACGGACCTTCTCAGCTTCATTGGGATCCCTGTGTTCAATGGTTCAAGACRAGTAGACAAATAAACTTTTCCTTACTCTATAAATGGGAGATTTTGTACTATTTGGTAATAAAAAGTGTCTTGAAACAGTGCAAATTTCATCAATTACCAGTATGACCTCAAAATCATTCTCCCATTACTTTCCAAGTGATAATAAAAAATATTTTAGAGAGAAAATAATACCTGGAAAAATTAATGTTTCTATACAACCTTTACCATAACAATTTGGCAACAAATCACAGCAGAAATGAAACAAATTTAATCAACTGTTTGCAATGAAAACAAACCTTTTCTTGTTCAGCAACTGTTTGGGTACAAACATCAAGAGTCCAGTGGTATGAGTGACTACAACCTGTCAATCAACACATTCATGAAACATTTATCAAATTCATCAATAATTCATAAGGCAAACACAATGGAAAATCATTGCTGTGACTGCATCTTTATATGAGCAAGAGATTTGTCCTGATTTGCATACGACTTTAACTTTGATATTCTCTTAAAAATAATACTTCATCTCAATTTTTTTTTGCGAAATCTGCTTTAGCTTATGTTAGAATTTGGCAAGCAGATAAAATCAGCAATACATATTGTTTTCTCATGAGACTTTTTTAGGAAAGTTATCAAAATATCACATCACAACTTAACCATCTTATTACTTAAATATATTAAGTAAGTTTCATTGGAGTATTATTTATCTTATATTTTTTAAGATTGTCAACAGGAAATGGTTTTTTATCCCAGCAATTTACATGATATTTAATCCTCAAAATACATTAGACATTATATATAACTGATGTATTCATCTTCACATTTACGTAATGTACATTATGCTCATATTAGTCAATATGGTTGTTAGTAGTAATATCGCTGTCTTACATACTTGAACATGTTCTGTTTTCTCCAACATTGAGAGGAACTCAGGTAAGGCAACATCAATTTTGAACTTTGCAGCATTTGCCAGGTCAATCTTGAGCTTCTTGGTGAAACCTAAGGCCTTTGAGGCTCTTTCTCTGCCTTCTTTAAACAGAAGTTTGATGCTACGACAAGCCTCCACAATTTTCCTTCTAGAAATACAAATACAATGTGGGACTCCTGTGGTTTGGAGGGCACCTAGTGTATCTAGCAGTGGCTGCATAAATGCTTCTTAATGGCCATACATTCAATGGTAGTCACAATAAATTGTAAAATATAGCACTGGCAGCATCAAAGCCAGATAATGCTTGATTGCTGGGTCTGGATACTTAGTGGTGTCATTTTTATAGCAATCATGAGTCAAGAGAAAACCAGACTCTTAACATGCATTGTGTTATCATGATAGCAATATTGCAGGCTTTGGGATCAAGATTGAGTATAAACAAAGGAATACAACTCCACTGTAATGAATCACAAGGATTAATGAATAACATACCTGACATCCTCGCTGTGGTCTGTGTTGTCATGGAGATCAGAGCAACACTGGTCAAGGCCTGACTCAAGGAAATCACCAGTAGATTCCAAGAGACCTGCAGCCATGACACTGAAAAGAAATAAATTGTTCACATGGGTTTCTTGTGCTGATTACGCAGGAAGATCAAAACATACCAAAACCTAGTTCCACCAGCAACAGCACCACCTCTGATGTGCTGATATTTGTGCTTGACAAAGACCCATTCCTCCTCCAGTCTGTTCTTGAGTCCTTTAGAGGCCTGGGGCAGCCTTTGCAACATGTGAATCATGTTATGAAGATACTCAAAATAAACCTGAAAATAAAAACTCTGTTATTCACATCATAACACTTTGAAAAAAATACACAATACAGCTTATGACATTGCTGAGTATCATTATTTTGACAAAAACATGTTTAGCTGCTTCAAAGTTCCCTGCTCTATCTTGACAGGAAACTAGATGTCTTTGTATTGCTCACCATTCATCTCACTGCAAACATACAGTTGCCTGATGACACAGGGAACTATGAATCAAACTATTAACAATACATGTCCACAAACCATTGATAACCAAGAGCACATGCCAATGGTGCTATAGATATATTAATAGTAGTTTAAACTATTACATCAAGACTACAAACATTAATGACTCCGTAGGCAATAATCAACTTGAGTAAAAACACCAAGAAATCAGTGTATAGTTTTCTTTACCTTGAGTGTGTTTTGTAGGTCTTGTTCAAACTCTTCAATATCATTTTCTAGCTTCTCATGGTCAGAGTCATCAGGTAAGATAATTCCTTCCACCATGAACAAATAATAATCCTTAACCAATACCCCAGCAACAATCACTTCTTTACATTCTCTGAGAAGCTGAAAATATAAAAAAAAGATGAAAAACCCCTTTACTTCAATAGCTTGAACGATTATTGTAATCTGATTGGCAGATGGATTTTGTCTTGTTAGAAGGGACATTGAGCTAAACTGTTAAAATACTGACACCAATAAAGACATTGGATTTGGCAGGATATTCTTATAGGTGTGAATTTAGTAGACATTTGCAAGTGTCATTTTCTGGATACAATTCCACAATTTTCTAATTATTATTGCCCCACTTTTTCCATTATATTTAAGAGTTAAAAATTCTCAACAAATAACAAATACATTAAGTAATTTTGGGTCAACAAAAAAAAATCATGATTTACCTGATTAATACTAAGTGAAGATGGCTCTCCTTTTGGTCTGTGTTCCAGTCTCAGTCTAATACACTCATGACTGACGTCAAGTGGTATTCTTATTAGAAATAAATACAGTACCCTAAACGATGGCAGACCAAGTTGTTTAAATACATGTTGCCAGTTAATCACTGTAGAAGTTTGTTCAAGATCTCTCAACAAAGGACTTGATTGTGTACGGGGTCTGTGTTCTGCAGCAACATCAAGATAGAGGATGTCCTCTAAATATGAAATAGATTCATTCCAGTCTTGTAACGTTTCCACAAGATGGTCATGTCTCAGCTCTGGACCCTCTGGCACCAAAACACGACGTACCTTCAACAAGGTCACATCTAAAATATCTCCAATTCTCTTTCCCAGTTTAATCAATCCAAACTTTTTGATGTTTCTGTCAACAAATGGTCTGTAGCGTGATGTCGACGACCATGAGAATTGAGACAGCTGGCTTGTTGATCTCATTGGTTGTTTAGGACTGAAATGGTCTTGTGGTGGTTTGGGGGACTGGTTACCAACCTCTTGTTCATCATTAGATCCAGAGCTACAATTATCATCTTCTGAAGTACTTCCAGTAAGGGAATCGCCTTCAGGATATGCATAGCCTGTTTATAGAAACAATATAATGAATCAAAGTTGAGGAAATATGCATAAATCATATCAGTATGGTAATCCCCTTCATGATGTGCACTGCTTGCTAATAGAATAATGAATAGAAGTTGAGGTAATATGTACAATGGATGTCAGTATGGGAATCCCCTTCAGGATGCAACATGCTTACATCATAATCACCCAAGCTCAAGGACAGCTATCACAGCATATCAATGCCCAAGATGTCTCATTTGCTCTTTTGTTTACAAGATTTTCTGATGCAGCAGGTTCTATGCACTGATAGTATCCCTCCCCAGTGGACACTGTCGTGTCACATGGTTGACTCCCAACCAATGAGAGCAGATAAAACTTTCTATTGAATTATAATTACTTAGAAACAGTATAATGAATAGAAGTTGAGACAATATGCAAATAAACAATGCATTTTAGTATGGGAATCTCCTTCAGGATATGAACAATGCATGTTAGTATGGGAATCCCCTTCAGGATATGAACAATGCATGTTAGTACAAACAGTATTCAATAAATACAAGGTTTAAT